GGTTATTTTTTTTTGTAATAGAGGCTGACAAAAGCGATCCAGCTTCTTTCGCTGCTTCTTATCAGTTTATTGCCCTGAAACAGTTGTAGGTTTAATTAAACTTAGGACATGTCTGACTTGACAGTACCTATTCGCAGAAGATAAGACGACTTTACCTGGAAATTTGGAAATTGTAGTGTAAAACATACAATTGTTTACTGTACTTCTCTCATTTTAGTAAACAAAATCCATATATTTTTACTAGAAAGTTAAGCTTGAAAATGGATATCTTCCTTTCTGGCTGCGCTCGGGTCGAGATTAAAATTCCAATATCACTGAGCGTTGGCAAAAAGTAAAATAGATACTTATTCGAGGTTGTTGTTGCTTTGGCGGTCTGTAATGGCGTGAGGGCGGGCCCCGTATATTTTCAGCTGGGCGGAGTCAAAGAGAAAAATCCGCCTTTCGTAAGCCACGCCCACCACTTCTCGCTTTTCCAGGCCAATTCCACTTATTTTGCTTTCATTAGATGAGCGTGTATGTAACGTGCACGTTTGCGTACCCCCCTTAACTAATGCCAGCCATTAGGGGGCTGGGAGCTTTTATGTGCGTCACATTTTTCATAAAGCGGTAAATCGTTTGTTACAAACAATGTCTGGTAGTAAAATAAACATATTCAAAGTTTACAGCAGCGAGAACTGGAATGGGAATATTAATATGAATAAGTACAATTTGGTGACCTACTGTACCGGTGTTATGACAAAATAAGGTACCAAGAATGGTGGAGCAAATAGCAAAGTATAGATGCGTTCTGCGTAGATGTTAATACTAGAGTAAGCTATGAAGTAGTATACCTATCTACAGTAGGTTGTTTCTAATCAAATTTCCATCCGTATTCCATACACCAACATTATTTTATTAGAATTTACAGAAGATAATCAGTGAGTCCTAGATGAAAGATAGATTATGGCTGTCTGTATATAAAGAAGTTTAATTTGTACCAATAATTTAAATTAAAGAAATAACGAAGACAAACAAAACAATGTAATTAGTAACTAACATTGTTTCCCGGCAGCAGCAAGTATTTTAATAACTTTCTATGAATGTCAGATAGTTAATGCTTTGCCGATCAAAATCAAAGGGATATTAGTTCCTGCTATGGGCAATAATAAGCCGTTATTAAACTTCTCGGGCGCGGTGCAGTGTGGTGTACTTCCATGGACGCATACATATTTCGCAGCTGAGTGGTCAAAGAGCGGCGCGTGCAGCATCATATTTAGGTAGTTCTCGGGGAGGGTGCCCTTAAGGAACAATAGTCTACCTACATGATGAAACTGTATAGAATGTGAAACTGTATAGAATGTGATAAAAATGAATTGCTGTTCGTTAGTCTGATTAAAACTCGAGAACGGCTGGGCCGATTAAGCTGATTTTGGTTTTAAAATGTTTGTCGTAGTCCAGGGTAGGTAGGTCTAAACGGGGAGCAAATAAGGAAAATTTGCGATGGCTTATTTATTGTAAGGCGGAACAGAGTTCGCCGGGTCAACTAGTTTTTAATAACTTTCATGATAATTATACATAAATGAAACTTATCTAAATTAAGACATATTTATTGAAGTCCTTGTTTATGATCCAGTTTAAGTGAAAATCTGAGAGATACCTAGTGTGAGAACTAGACAGCTAAAATAAATTGTTAAAATAAAACAAACCATACGTAATACACAACTTTTATACATAATTAAAATATGTTTGTTAAGAAAATGACAAACTTTAGCATGTAAATGTTACTACATATATCTTGGTCTTAAAACATTGGATTATAGGTTCTCAATCTCAATAAATTTTTTTTTTGGTCAAATGCTTATACCTACACTAACAAGAAAATCAATCATAAATGGAACCGAATACAAGAAAAAGCTTTTCAATAATGTGTGTTTGGCAAATCCTACAGTAAATAACAGCGAAAAAAGATTAGTTTTATACTTTGCTTCATGACAATTTAATTATTCTTGCCAACATGTCCACAACAACATTTTAATTTATTGATACAGTTCATTGTATTCATGTTTATTATGTTGTTTACGTTAATTGACTGACACTGTATTCAAAACTGACATATTTTTTGCCTACTAAAACCAAAGATTCAAAGATTATTATTTATTCACCGAGACAGTGTGGTAGCCTTAGGTTACAGAGCCTTAGGTTACAGAGAAGTGCAGCTTATCTCACCAGTGCAGCTGGTATGTGAATTTGTGCAAAATGATACCTATTGTTACAATCATTCATCATTATACAGGATGACTGGGAAACTCGACCTATTCCTTGAAAGGGATTATACAAATTAAGTCCAGTGAACCAGGGGTCAAAACTGGATGGCTACCAGGGTTGAAAAAGAACTAGTTTTTTTTTAATTTTATAAAACAAACATTTCAAAATGTTTTAAACATGACTGTGTTTTTTTTTGTTTTTTATGTTTTTTTTTCTTTTTATAGTTCAGGCCATTAATTTCAAATCAATTAGACCTTTTTTATTTCTAGGTTAGGTAGATATATCTATACTTATAATAAATCTGTAGAGAGGTCAATTCTGTACATGAAATATATTTCCAAAATAACTATCAGGGGGTGATTAGTGATCGATACTGATGCCAAAAATGCAATCAGTAAAATTTTTGTCTGTCTGTCTGTCTGTCTGTCTGTCTGTCTGTCTGTCTGTCTGTATGTTCCTTATAGAAACAAAAACTACTCGACGGATTTTAACGAAACTTGGTACAATTATTCTTAATACTCCTGGGCAGGTTATAGGATACTTAGGAATTCCCACGGGAACGGGAATTAGCGGGAAAATCCTTTTGTACGAAAAATCTAAACCGCTTAAGTTAGACGCTTGAAATTTGGCATGCAGGTACCTTAGTAAACTTAAAGCTTAGTTACAACAGGATATTGCAAAATTCCCACGGGAACGGGAATTAGCAGGAAAAAACATTTGTATGAAAAAATCTAAACCGCGTAAGATAGACGCTTGAAATTTGGCATGCAGGTACCTTAGTAAACTTAAAGCTTAGTTACAACAGGATATTGTAAAATTCCCACGGGAACGGGAGTTAGCGGGAAAAAACATTTGTATGAAAAAATCTGAACCGCGTAAGATAGATGAAGGGGGGGTGAAACGAGATCCACGCGTACGAAGTCGCGGGCGGCCGCTAGTTTAAAAATAAAGGCAATACCCACTAGTCCATTAAACTACTTTCATTCAACGGCCAATATAGGGCTTTCCTAGCGGGACTTTACAGAAGAGGAATTAGGTAGGTACCTTTGATTCGGGTGCTTTATTGATTTTTAGTAGGTAGGTATTTTATTTCATTATTAATTCTATGACTGATAATAACTCATTTAAAACATGTTCTAATCTATATTTTTAAACTCTTAATAAAAAAAACTGTTTTATTTAAAACTGTTTTAAACAACTTGTTTTAAAACATGCCAACCCTGATGGATACTAAGTTATTTGATTTGTTGAATAGAATAAGTAATAGTACCAAGGGTATGGTATAGCTATTGACAAAATAGTCTTTGAAAATTGCAGGTGTACCTATTATTTAGTATGTGCTTGCCTGTAATGACTACATTTCTTAACAGCTAACTAATTAAGACTAGCTAAGTATCCTAGACGATTCTAGAAAGTTATTTCTACACAAAAATGACATCCTAAACTTTTAGTAATTGGTTAACATTTTGTAGACAAAGTAACACATGTATAGGTAGTTATTGAAAAAAAAAATACATTTTCAACACGAAGCTGTCAAAATTTCCAATGTTACACGACCATTGAAAAATCTCAAAATGCACTGTTCCAGCCAGTACAAGCGAAATTTTCAAAAATTGATTTTGAAATCAATGTAAGGTAATGATGTCAAAATAACAATGCACATAAAAATAGATGCATGATTTTAGAAAAATAATATGAAAATATACGAGTAGCGTGACTAAATAAGATAATTACTTGTATCTAGAAACACATGCAGTGATCTGTTAGAGAAAAAATACAGTTATGACGATGTATTAACAAGATGGAGCAAGAATAATACATAATATAATACCTATATGTCACAATAAAACGGAACAGCTAAAAACTCGTAAATTTTCAACCTTTCACATACAAGATCACTCGGCATCAAATAAATCGCACCTCCCGCGATAACAACTTTGAAGATTTTCTTCTGACACAATCATGGTGTCCCACCAATATTGGTGTTATTTGAAAGCCCAATAAATAAACTTAAAGAAAAACTCATTTTTTTATAAACAATTACCTGTTACCTTAAATGTGAGTTGAAAAAAGGACCAATTAGACCAATTTTTGTTGTTACAAAACCAAATAATGATCTCACATGTCCTCTTTAACAGATGGATAGCGATTAATCCGAATTTAACAGTTTTCTAACCATAATAAAAGTTGGCTCGAGCGTAATTACCTGTCGCTTTAAGAAGAGACACTGGATTCTTCTAAAGACACAATTTTGGGCTAAAATCCTTTCCTATAATGAAATAAATTTTAGAACTAGGTAAACAACGGTACCAATATTATTGGGAAGTGGGTATGGGATGCATGTACGTTTGTAAGTACTTGTCGCGATAGGTGCGCTTTATTTGACGCCGAGTGTAGATAGTGGAGATCTTATAAATAAGTAAAAATTAACAGCAACGATAAGTAACTAAGTGTGGTACCTACATACTTACAATAGTTATATTTTTTTAGCATTTTAAAGTTACATTAACTTTTTTTTAAACTTGAAGGTGTTACGGCCAGCGTCGTTTCATGTTGGTGGATTACCCTTATACATCCAACATTAGCTCAGAGGTCAGAGCAGTAGCTCGGCAAACGAAGGACCGTGCGTATCTACAATTCCTACCTAGGCAATTAGATTTTGTCAACAATATTATATTAATTTAATTTGAGATGCAAATGCAATTCTTAATTACTAAAATTTTCAATAATTAATGTGACTTTCAAAACGTGCCAATTCAATCCTGTCTTTTCCTTTTTCTACTGGAGCTGACTCCCGAGCCAGCGTCGCCCGCGAGCAATTCGGTGAGCAAGCAGTTGCTGATGCATCTGACGTAGCAGAGCGGCGCGCGCGTCAGCTCCGCAAGCCGCGGCGCGGGGTCCGGCCCGCAGTACGACAGTTGCCGCGCCGCCGCCGCCACCGAGCCCGCCGCCAGGTGTACTGTCCGCAGGCCTACCCGGGCTACGGTCCAAACGACGTCTTTAGTACACGAACACCATCATATTATTGCAGGAGAACTTACTTACAAACAGACTGTAAGCCGAATTTTACAGTAACACAAATGTCCCCGATTTGCATCTAAACGTCAAGACTATGAATGATGAAGGAGCTAACAGCTTCCTCATTCAACACTTAATATAAAGACCCCACTACTATTTAAAGTAGGTACTTAATCAGCCAACTTATGGAAATAAATAAGTACAAACAGCACTGCAACAAAAATATCCTGCCTGACCACTTAGTTACTGCCACTGTAGTTAACGCAAGAAGAGACCGATAAGAAAAGATAAAATTGCTTTGAAGAAACACAACCCTGCAGTGGAGACTTAGGCTTCAACCATACCAACGCAAGGACTGTCATGGGTCGCGCGACCTGTCATTTGCCTATGATCGCGCCGGCGATGGCGATCTGCACGCGTTGGTGTGGTTGAAGCTTTAACTGCCTAATGATGATCAAATTTTGTTCACGAAACCGACGAGGGTATGCATTGGTCAAGGACCAATGCATACTCCCGCATAGCAAGAGCTGATGATGATCCATCCGACCGATTTCGGCCATGGCGACCACTGCGACTCCTAGCTGTCTTGGCGGCGCTGGTGTGCCCGAAGATGGCTTACGTAGCCTATTTTCGCGGTAAAATCCCTCGCGCATTGAGGGCATCTGAGCACGCCGCCAACATAGTTATAGTGAATGGCGGCAGATGGACGGGCCTTCAAGTCATCGCGCTTCGCGTCGAGTTCAGTCGTACGCTGCACCTCGAACTCGTGGACTTGCCTTTTCACAATCTCCCGCCATTCTGGGCGGGTTATATAAAGGGTTTGATCTTACCGAAGTTCGGACTGGGCGGTGAAAGGTTTGAAGCCCACCAGACGCGGCCGTTGAGCCGGTCGCGGCGGTACTCCGCCAAGTTGACGAGCAGCGCGACGCCCTCCAGCATCTCCTGCGGCATGCCCGCGGCCACGGCCAGGGCTTCCCCTGCCTCCACGCTGGTCCACAGGGGGATGCGGAACCCTAAAAAATTATAATTACCATGGAAGCGTCAGCTTCGAAGAAACGAAACCAAAAGTTTATAGTCAAGTCATAAGTTTTATCTCCTCAAAAAATCTTTAGTCACAACAAGTCAAACATCAACAAACAAACAAACAACTCTTTAGTCTTTAGTTACAAAACAAGTTATATTAATTGTCTCTGCTACAGACAGACAGGTTTTTTTAATTTACGTTATTTCGTAATGTGTCTATATAGCTATTATTTAGCTGCTGAATTAGCAGCTGAAAGCATTCAGTCTACTGTGTATTGCTGAATATAAATTTTACTTCTGTACTGACCTAAAGTGCTGTATACTCTGAACTCGGATTCTTTTATTTCGTCTACAGTTAGCCTCACTCCCTTGAAGATGAGGCACACCCTGATGAACGACGCATTCATCTGGAAGTAGGCGGAGTTCATCTTGGCCGCTAGTTGTATACAAGATACCATCAGTACCGGGAGCTTTCTCAGCAGCTGCCTCTTGAAAGTTGGACCTTGTGCGACCACTGTACCTATTTAAAAAAAAGACTTTAAACAAACCTACAACATGTAGACAGTACGAGTACCTACCTACCTACTCGTACTTACGAGTGCCTGCTTACATTACTATTCTTTCGTAATTTTAAAATTTATGGAGCATAAACGAGTGTTGAACACTTATTTAAATTGACATCTAGTATGGAAATGTTATTTTAAAGAAGTGTGTACGTAGTCTCTTTTTTTGTGTTAAAATAACACTATAAATGTTATGCGAGAATGACTTAGCTCGTGTTAGTCTTACATTTCAGATTAAATTAATGTCCTATGTTAAAAAAATACAAGAAAATAATAAGAGTTCGTAAAAAGTAGGTATAGATGACCCACGCTGAACTGTCCCGCCAAACTCAATGACAGGGGGGCGCTACCATCGTTCAACTATATGGTTTCCAACATGGCAAAAATCTGAACCAGCGATCCGGTATTGACGGTGGCGCCCCACTGTCAATGTCATCGACAGGACAGTCCAGTATTTTGGAACTATACCTACGTGACCTGTCAAACCAAAATCCGTTGAGGTTGACACTTGTTTACCTGGAGCCAAATTGCTGAAGTTATGCATTTGTACCGCTAGGTAACGCTCAAGGAGCCGGCAGGCCTGTCCCGGCACTCCTCTGCAGTCCACGCCAAGTGTGCCACATAGCATCCACATGGCATGTCTGGCATCATGTTTTATAATCGCCAGGGGCCATTCCTCGTCCTCTTCTGCCAAAATGATAGGAGCCTTTAATGAACCTCTATTCGAGTCAAACATGAAGCGAACGACCGACGCCAACATTTTGCTGCTGATGTTGTAGTTAAGTATAGATACTCAACACTTTGAGTTAAAAGGTGCATTGAAGGTCACTAACTGCACCACTGGGTTGTACTGGGAATGTTCATAAGGTAAGTTTGATAATAAGAATAATACATTTTTTGGTGGCAATCATGCGGGCAAGCCCGGCAAGCAAAAGGTCGAATCGATTTTTCAAATTCCACGTTAAACAATTGCAATAAATTGTAATATTATACATATTTTATAAATGTTTTATACTTGGATATTATACACATTGCAATTTGTTTAATCCAAAACCTAAAACTAACTTATCTAACAACTACACAAACTTAAAAAACTCAATTAAATCAATCACAAGTCAATTCTTGTACGCAATTTAGCTGAGGTCTCATCTACTCCCCTCAAATCTATCTTTTTACGATAACAATAATAAAAAAATATGTGATAAAAAATATTTACCAAACCAATAAAAAACAACGTTTTAATTAAGCGATTCACAGGGCAATTCAATTTAGTTAGTAATTTAAATTTCCTTTCGGCTGCTATCTACTAAGTGAATAATAACAAAATAAAACTATAGTAAAGGCCTACTTTATAATGAAGAATCTTGATTTGGTTACCTACCTTCCTCCTTACAATCTTCGAACATCTTGGATATCCAATGGGGCATTAGATGTAAGGAAGACTGCATAGCGCTTATCACTTCACGATCTAGGATCCTTCAATTAATATGAATAATTAGTTAAATAGTTGAATCGTATCGAATCGTTAGACATGAGCACATGAAATGAAAATAAATTACCTACATTATTTAATATCAATAAACTTTATTTATTTACCTATATCCATCAAAATTGTTGGTGTCAAAACACACGATGTTTTTTTATCTGTGACAAATTACCACAAACAAAATAATGTGTAACAAATAGTTTGCATTGTATTTTTGATTAAACTGTAACATTTTTTTAAAATATTTAGTTAAGTGATAATTATCAATATAATAAGCCTAAAATTAAAAATAAAACTTACCTAACTTATTTACATTAAAAGATTGATAATATGAATATCAAATCACGATAATAGATATTCTGAAAAAATAAAGTTTAATTACTTCTTAGCGGGAAATAGAAGCGTCATGTCTATAATATGGATTCCATAATGTGCCATCATCATGATTTTAACTTATGTAGGTACATAATAAGTCATAAATAGTAATTATAAGTACCTATTAAAATAATAAATTAATCAATGATAGCAGGTACACACATCAACATGGTACATGGTCTAGGGATATTTAAAAAAAACCTAAGAGAAATCCAGAATAATGTTAAGTATAACGTAATTACGATTGTTATTTATGAGTAGTAACTACTTTATATGATTGTTAAATTTAATAAAGTTAACCGTCTCTGGTCTAGTAGAAAGACCACCTGATTTGATTCCCAATAGGGCAAAATTTACTCGGTAGTTACTAGGTAGGTAGGTACCTACTTAGATAGAAGTCAGTGCACGAAAGGTGAGGCAGATTTTAGTAAGCCAGAATGGCTTACTCGTAAACGTCACATGAACTGTCAAAGTGAAAAATTGGTAAACACGTCCGACGACTTTTAATTAATTAAGACGGTTTGTGGGTATTTCTTCGGAGGCAAAATTTTCGATGTCTTTGGGTATAGTTCTGTAACCAACTAACAAAATGGCATGCAATATTTTTTTTCGTATAGCTTAGCTATAGCCTTATCTGGCGCAAATAACATTTTTGACAAAATTGCTGTCTTTATACAAAATAAAAATACTTAAAGTGTGATTCTCTGATTCATATGGTGTGTCCGTTAGCCATTTTTCGGAACAAAATGGTTGATGTAGCATTTTCCTTTTGATATATCAATATAAATTAAAATTATTTCGAAAGCTAATGAGTTGTCCTTCTACAAAAAAAATGTGTCATAATTTTAATTAAGTTAGTTTGTTCGCAAAAAAATAAATAAGCAGTGTCCGGCATAAAATACTGATTCATATGGCGTGAGCTGTTCTTGACCATAACTGGTCAGGTTTTAATCATGAGAGTCTGGTTTCTGGCGTGGAGGCAAGCCCATCTTGCAACGGATGAGCTAGAAGGCAGACGTGGAGCTGGTTGGCTTAGAACCCGGTGTGACGAAGGCAAATACTTGATTCATCTGTGCTTGGTTCAGGTGGCATGCTGATTACAATGCCTACTTTATAAAATTACATTATTGCATTAAAAATCTAATCTGTCTTTCTTGTGATGCTTTTGGGTTATATAATCATGTAGAAAAATGACATCGGTACTTTGAATTCAATAAATAAGTAAGTACATGATGCGTTTTGTTTTTGTTAGTTATAAAATAATTAAAAACGTATTAAAAATTTCCCTACTTTCGGGAAAATCGCCTTCACTGTCTACACTCCCCAACAAAATTGACACTAATGACATAAGATTTTTGCCTCACTCTTGACGAAGCGTTTGTATGAAGACTATCCATCTAGGTTTTATTAATCTAAGCGTATTTCACACATTACGGTTAACCTATTCCATACTGTGCGCGAGTACTATGCAACCTATTTCATTATTCAGTTTTTCGCCTACTACTTTTGACTAACGCTCTCGGTCAAAATCAGTCAAAAGTAATACATATTGACCGATAATGCGTTTTGACTGTAACATGATTATCTTTACATTTTTTTTTCTATAGAGGGAAATACCGTCAATCATGTTTTGGTATTAATACGGCCCCTTAGAATAAAATAAAATAAAAATCATTACAGCAAAATGCAGCAAACACGAATTTCAGAACTGTTAGGTAGTTTTATATTCGTGATGATAAAAGAGAATTCGTACTTCTTGGCGGGAACGTGAAGCGTCGCCGTTTAGTTTTATTTTCTAAAATTCGTGTGTCTTCGTGAACGTACATGAGTGTAGATGAAACAAAACCAACAAAACAGATAAATCAAGTCGGCCTCGACGAGTATTGCCAACAAAAAAAAGAAGATGAAGAAAGAGAATCGAATTACCCCAAAACTGGATAAGATCGCCTTATAAGCTACGGCTTCAAAAATTATATTTTTTTAAATACCTACCCATAATATAAATATCACAAGCACATCTCTGCCCCACTATACTCATCTCCGTTTTGTCGGAGACCGGGAAACCAAACAGTCTCTTCAGTTCAAGTACAACCTGTGGTACAACCTACAGTTAAATTGAGCCATTGATTCTGATTGATCTACTTGCATTCTCAAGCCTATGCGATATCATCCGCGACCCTCCTAAAAGGAACGGGGAAGGATGAATTTTAATTAAAGGGCAATCGGTGCGGTTTCTGGCTCAGCCGCAAATAGTCCGCAAAATGTTAACAAGTTATAAAAATTATGAATAACCGTCACCCAGACGAGGGTCTGACGCGCGGGGGGCGAGGGTGGCCAACAATGGAAGCAGCTCTAGGGTGCCCAATAAAAACTTGACAAATGGCGTTTCATAATCGAGATGCATTCCAAGCCTCGTCAACGGGATCCTGGATTGCCCTCCCCTTGGAAATATGTTTGTTCTGAAAATACCGCACGCAATAACACCACGATAAAAATTACCTAGCAAGGCATTATTCTTTGATAGGTCCTAAAGGCCTTGTAGTTACGTATTACCGTGAATAATAACGAATCGAGTACCTACTAACATGTCCGTTACGACTTGAGCATGAGTATGTACCTACCTACTCATTTACTCGTATATTCAATTAGATTCTAATTTTTACGGAGCTAGTGTAATAACGGTGTTGTTTTACTTTTTACCACAACTACCAATTAAAGTCCTTATGCGTTTTAAAGTTTTTTGTAACAAAATATTTTAAAGTATTGCGTCTAGCGCCATCTAGTGTTAGGTTGTAGAAACATGTTGACATAACTGGTTCTATTTCAAATAAATGTCAGTCTGTTTGAAGCTATCTCCGTGTTTTAATAAACATCCACGCGCATTTTATGAAAGCTTATTTTACACATCCAATTAATTTATCTTATAATTTAGCCGTAATGATAATGATGTCTCCTGGAAATCGCATTCAGGTCGCGCGTCTCCTATCACGAAATGTCTTGCGAGTGATTGATATAATTAATTAATTAACAAAGGATTAGGTAAGTAAGTATCATGCCACTTAATTCATGTTGACTAAGCCAATGTGAGATAGCCTTAACCACGTGTTTCAGATACGTATTAATATAATTTAGAACTAATTTTATAATAATGCTACTTGGCCTCCATGATATTGCGTTAGGTATCAATAAACTAATTTAATAGTTATTACGTAGTCAATAACTATTAAATTAGTTTAGTAAGCGTTAATTTTTTGAGCCTAGCTAGATGGATAGTATACAACCGCTTCGTCAAAAGTGAGGCAAACATCTTATGGCATTACTGTCAAAAAGTTGTTCAAAATTAAATATTAATTAAGTCGATTTTTTGGAAAGTGAGAAATTTTTCTTCCTAATAAAATGTTTATTTGTTATTTAATAAGATTATTTAATAAGACATTTGAATAAAACAATAAAGTTTCAAATATTGCCTCACTTTTCGGGTGCTTAGTTACTATCTATCTTGGCTTTATTAATTTATGGAGGCAATGGTATAGGCTTAGATAATAATAGGTACCTACCAATTTTCAGTGTTATTTTCCGGTCGGTTACTAAAATCAGAGGGATTTACATGAGCCGCAGGAGCGGCGTAATGGAGTAAGGTATCAATGTACTATGGTATGTTATTTTGTGTCCTACGACGTTTATAATGCATTGAAGAGAAATTAAAGTTAACATTATAAATACATTAAATTAATTAAGTAAATAAATTTACAAGTGCATACGCGGGGTTTTTTTTCATGCACTATCATGATCACATTTATTAAAATACGTCATTAATAATATCTTTTTTTTTAATTAAGGCTTCGTGCGGCTTGCACATTATGGCCAGTGTCAAAGAACATCAAGTTGATGTAGAAATGGATTAGTAGGATGTTGAATATTAAAAAAAAATCGATGCACAAGGCTGATTATCTATTTTTTTTATACAGTTTCTGTTTACCTTACATTCCTTTACTTCCTCTACTTTAAATTAAAATTTTTCAACATACCAATAACTTTTTTTAATGTATTACCTGTACGGCTAGCACGAAAAACTTTCGAGTCGTTCGTTTGCGTGCTCGAATCGCCATCAAAAGATTTAGTACGAAAACTACAACAGCGCCCTTGTGAACGTGTCGTAAAGTGAACTTAGTATGAGAAATGGTTGAACGAAACTTATTTTGAGACTCAAAATTGTCACGTTATCGTTTAATTCGAAGGTTGAGTATCGAATTTTGTCGAATACGCAAAGGATTCGAAGACGAAAGTTGTTCATGCTAGAGGTACTGGTATTACTATTCGGTAATGAAATCACTCACTTCTTGCATTAGGAACGGTGCATGAGACACTAGGAACAGTGTGCTGAGATAACTGAGATTAAGAATAGACCCACCCTGCTAAAAAGGGGAAACAAGTGTTTTTGTTTACTAAAAGCATTTAAACGGATACCTTAACTACTTCCCTTTTTTAAAATAAGTTTTCTTTTGCTTTTTTTTTATTTAGTACCTACCTATGCTAATGAAACGCATAATAACTTTATTATTACTCCCATTAAGATCATGTAAATATTCTAGTTTTAAAAACTAATACGTTGCATAAAATTAAATACAATAGACATTTGTAAAAGGTAAGTTAGCTACTGCGGATACTGCTGAGTCATCCCCTCTTACGCTTTGTCATAGATGTAACTGGATATAGTAGGCTCATATAAAATGTCGAGGTCATAAAGTATGTGTGGTTATTACCGAAGTAGCCCGGAATGCGTATTAAGAGGTCCTAGTTCGCAAAATATTGAGCTTGTCAGCGGCCCCCCACGCGGAACACGCTGTTATTAAAAATAATTCCTCATTTTTATTGCCCTACGTGTAGTTGTGGTCGAGGTAATAAATGACTACCGTGTTATTAGGATGTGACACTTGAAATTTGTGTTGTTGAGTAAAAATATTATGATTTTAATAAATTATGCGTGAATGAAGTGTATAATTTAATTTATTTACCTATGACAAACTTTTAATTAGTACAGATAAGGACGTCAAATTGAGATTACCATAATTCTGACATAAATTCTGCACACTGTAAACAGTAGGCACTGAAATGGATTTACTAAATTGTGATTGTGAAATGGATAACAAATTACGAGTAGGTATTATGGATGCAATAAATTATTGAGTGTTCGAATTGCATACCAAATGGCAAATGAAAGCTAATGTAGCAAAATAAAATCTACAAAAAATGTAAAAATAAATAATACCCTCTAAAAATATATGCGTAGGCAAAATAATATTGCAAATGGAAAATGATTTGAAACTTTCTTATAATGTAAAGTTTTAATAAAGTTTACTCATTCCTTGAACACAGTTCTTACAAATAAAATTTAATGGTGAACTCTAACTAAAAATTGCGAACGTTCTTTTGAAAGAGTATGAAAAGGTCTGCCATTGTTGCAATCCAATGAGTGCAGTGCCGGCGGAGTGCAGTTAAGCTGGAAAATTCTAGGTCCACGTTCACTATCGGGTATACGTTTAAAGTATAGATAGTGATAGTTAATTTGAACGGGTGCAGTTTTTACGTCGTAGGCGGGGGCGTGGCGAGTGCCCGCCCAGCGGAGCGCCGCGGGCGGCAGTCTCCGCGGGTGCTCCGAGTGGTGGTCTCGTGCGCGTCCCGTCCGTGTCCCGGGTCAAGTTCCGTCGGTGCCGTATCGTGTTTCCCCGTCGCGGAGTGAGGTGAGTACTTACTCGTACTTAATTTTTTTGGGATGGAAATTCATTAAACTCAATCTATTTGGCTAGGATTTTTTATACCGTCGTGGCTAAAAGTACAAATAAACTCAATTTGAGTGAAAACATAAATATTGTGTGTCGTGAAAAAAATACTATCATAACTACAATTTATTTTAGACCGAAAATTTTTTATCTCATAAATCCTAAGTGCAAAAGACAATGCCGGAAATTGGCGTCTTTTTTTTTCGCGCGCCCATCGACCGAACTTTGTTTTTTGATTACAAAATAGTGTAATAAACCAAACTTACTATGACATAATATACCTCTAAACTCAGTCTGAACTGAGTTACGAGCATTAGAAGTTTGATGATTTTCATACTAGATTTGCTTTTTGCGCGCAAAAATAGCGCAATATTTTGTTGCAATTTCTTACAAAACTTGCGCACGCATCAAACTTCTAATGCTCGTAACTCAGTTCAGACTGAGTTTAGAGGTATATATGTCATAGTAAGTTTGGTTTATTACACTATTTTGTAATCAAAAAACAATGTTTGGATGATGGCCGCTCGAAAAAAAAAGACGCCACTTTCCATACAAAATCTGGCATTGCCTTTTAATAATTTGTTTCTGTGGAAGTAAAAAGAGAACTGTACTTTTTTCATTTATTGTGCTTATTTTTATTTAACTCCGGTTAAAAAAAAAGAATATTTCTAACAGAACGCTACAGAATTCTTTGCTACGAGCTACGGCGACCGTAGCACCGTAGAGCCCTTGTAGAGCCAGACGCCGTAGCACAAAATATCGTAGCAATTAGAAAACTAAAAATGATAAATAAATAATTATATGTATAGCTTTAAACATAAAAACAGACGTAATAATTGTTATAGAGTAGATTATAGAGCTAAAGACCAAATAGGCATATTGTCTTGAAACAATAGAAAAAACTGAACGCTCAAAAATTCACTAACCAAGAGACTATGATTTTCTTAAGGAAGGAGGTACCGTGTAATTTTTTAAAGTTTTATAATCTACGATAAAAAAACAAAAGCAGTTTTTTTATATTTCTGCAAGTATGAGTTTTCACATTTATTTATGTGCTACTTATATTTACTAAGTAATCCCTGTTATTTGTCTTGATAAATTGCTTGCCACAAGTCTATAGCTTGCTTATCTCACATCCTAACAGGGATGGTGGCGGCGTCAAAGGGATTAGTCAGACCTTATTTAGGTATCGGTATCACGTTGATGAGCTTAGTTTACCGACGCGGTGATTAATGGTATAGAGCGCTAGATTAATACCTATAGCTTCTCTTGTGGTAAAGCCCTTTATTTTGTTAAATTGCCTTTCATAGTCCGATAATATTTTTTTATTATCTTGGAGCCTGTTTTGAGAAAGTGTTTTATCTAGAAAAATTATAATTTTGACTGCGTTGATAGTTTGTAGTTGAAATTGGCTAAAAAACATAATAACGTATATAAAGTACAATTTAATTGATATAAAGGTAGATTACTGTATTTTCAACATAAATTAAAAACAAAAGATACCTATAAATTTAGAGCTTTTACTATTTCAATAAGGATTCAAGCTTTACAAGTTTCCAAAAATTAAAATCACTTATCGGGTGTGGTTTTCTTTAACGATCCAAAACAAAAAATACTAATTGGATAATAAGCTATTACCTTCTATTTCCCTCCGTTTATTTCTCGTACCTTTTTTCAAAATTAAGTCCCTTTTAATATTTATTTTCAGATTTCTTCGACAGTTTCCGTGGGTAGTACAGGCCGGTTCAAAAATGTTTTCTTGCATTTAAATGGTAACAGTCGATAATTTAAATTTTATTTGCGAGGCGAATGTTTTATTAATTTAAGCAATTAACTCAAAACATCCAAATCATGAAATATACTAGAAAAAATTTAAAATTTTATAATAAAAATGTTAAATCTCATCGTAATAAATTACAAAATTAAATCATCCTTCCAATTGCAATATTTCTTTCACCGTAAAGTAATTTTATTGGGTTCAAGGTATTTTTGAAATTAAAGAGCTTATTATTTATTTATCAATGCATTTTAAGTTATAAATTGTTGTTAAATACTATTTAATTGTGCGTAGCGCCATCAATTTCTAGGTTTCCAAACATTGTAATAAATTGCGCTCATTACATTATTTAATTTAATAAATTAGTAACCATTTGATTGGAATTTACATTCGTTTCGTTTATTTTTAATTTAATCGTTGGGAAGGATCGATATAAACCGCAATTATTTTGTAATAACTTGCCGGAAGCTGTGTCTGCGGGTAGACAACATTCGCACGCGCGTTGTGGTCGGCGCCTGGCGCGTGACGCGACGCACTGGCTCTACCCGCAAAATGATTTCAACATTCATCTGTAGCCTTCACTGCTTCACATCAGACTGACCAAAATCAAAACAATGGATAGACCCGGATTATTTTGTAACGTCTCGAAGCGATGGTAGAGCAAAAAACATACACCAATTAGGACATTTTTAGTTAGATTTTAATTTTACATGATTGAGCTCTCTATTTGGGGAACGTACTAACACAGGTACTAATGTATCATGAGGTAACCTTATTTTAAAAGGATGCCAACGATTTCATTTTTACCCTGTAGAATAAATTAATGAATAAAAGTTTTGTACTAGTAGGTATTTTAACGCCAGAATACTTACGCAGACTAAACAAAAAAAAGGTCGATCTAAGGCAATATTTAGAATATATCTATCTAATAATACATCTTTAATCCATAGATTCAAAGGATATATTTTACGATTGTACTTTATGCACATACTTTTCCAACCGATTGGGCGATAGAGTAATTTTTCACAGAAGCCTGGACGTGTATTGTAAAAAAGATTTAATTGCATACCACGGACGGCACCATGATTCTTATCGCGCTACGCTACTTATTGAATCGGCCGGGTGCGTTCCGTTGATGCGGCGGTTCTCAAAGTACGGGAATACCTAGATACCATTCTGGTTGTTTCTCACTTATAGCTTAATGATCCTACTAGGTATTCATAAGTATAACTTAGTAAAATTTAGTCATTTTACTTGCTATTTCGTACTAGAAGTCTAAAAAACCATCTGAAAATCTAACTTACAAAGCAAAGGAGAAAAGCCATTATTTTGATAAAACTCTGTAAAATGTTCAAAGCTTTAACTAAGAGGACAATAAAAATTAATTAAATTAGTATTTCTAAATTCATACATAATACATACCTCGCTGTATTGGCAAAATGAGTAATCAACCAAACTTATCCAACCGATCGCTGCCACATGGACTACTATTTATCTAAAAGATCAACATTTAAAAAACCTAGTATTTTTTGACAAATTCATTCTTCCCTCGATGCCCTCGCCGGAAGATTGAGAACGCGTGCCCCTTCAGAGCATAAATCAGCCGGTTGTATTTCTTCCGAGAATGGCTCTTTTTATTGCACACTGATTGGCCTATTGCGATCGCTAATGTGTTAAAGAGCCACACAATAGTGTGTTTACACGATTCACATTTAATTGTTATTTGTTCTGGTAGAGACCCTTAACCTTAATTGTATTTTGAAAATAGAGGATTTCCTACAATTATTATTATTGCGATTAATTTACTTGCCCTACATAAGTATAATAAAGCGAACAGCTTCCATTATTACATTGTATTTTTTTTCTAATTTAGATAATACTTGTTTCCAAATAAGATAATATTTTTTTCATCAAAAAAGTTTGACACTAAACAAAAATAATCTAATCTATTCTCCGCCGCGAGTAAGGAGAATCCTCGTAACAAGTGCTTAATTTATTCCTCTAAATAGAATCGTTATGTTAGACCGCACCGCGTGTATCATTTCATAACGTTTACATTACCGTATTTATCGGCCCAGTTCCGGGAGAGCTATTCTTTTGTTTACCTATACGGCACTAGGAGTCCGGCCACTGATGCACGCCAACTGTCCGAATGCGTAACCATCTCGTTAAAGCTTGGAGTAATGATTTAACCCGGTTGTCGGCCACGTTAAATATTATGTGAACTTTTATCTTCTTTTAAATTTATAATTTTAGCATCGCATTGACATTGATTGACGCCGAACTTTTCATGGCCTGTAATTTTAATAAGGGTATTTTAATAATATAATTTTAAGACAGACTAATAGTATCTTGGGCTGCACTGTAAAGATCTGAAACAGTTCAGTCTCTGTTTCAGTCGACTTGTAATCATGTCTTATGTCCAAAATTGATAAAGTTTATTGGATGCGATAGTACGAGTTGGTATAATTAGTTTTCATTACATTACATTATTTATGTACCTAAGTAGGCACTATATTGTGAGTGCTTATGCTCGTATCTCTCTCACTTGAGATGAAAAAAAATTAATGAAAAGAAGGAAAAGCCGAGTAAGTACGAGATGTATCATACAGAAATGTAATTATTAAACACTCAGTTGTATATTGTACGCCATTAAAGTAAAAGTTCTCATAAAACCCTTCCAATACCATTATATTTACCTAGCTTGACCACAAGAGCTGTACCACTTTTGTATTTAGTCCGCAGGGAAATTGCGGAAAGCGCGCCTCTGTAATTTATGCGAATGTAACGTCAAACGGACATGAAATGAAAACTCTAGAAAAGACAGGCTGAAGCGGCATAGTCTAGTGGTGAAGCTAATAACGGGTCTATTGGATATCCTACACGCTTGTTTCCATTTCGCCACCCGGACCAATTTTGCCATTTTGCCAGTCCTTTAGCAGTACGCCAGATTCAGAATTCGGCGTGTGTAGGTCAGTAGTTCATCCGACACGTGATATCGCTGACACTAATTTGCCGGTGAGGCCGTGACTGCAGGACTGCACTGGCTGCATATTGAGTTAGCGACAAATTCGTTAGTAAGTAATTAAACGGGGACTGGCCTGCTGCAGTGAGAATTTTACATCTCGATTTTCAGTGGTAATAGCAGATGAATTTGCTTCTTGATACCCAACGAATAGATTTTTAACTTGGTTGCTTACTTTTTTACAAAAGATATTATGTTACTTGTCATTATAGTTTAACCTTAACGGATTAAAAATTATACTCGCGAGCAAAACTATGGAATCACTTACATGAAGTTGTTTCCACGCGAACTTGTGTACTAACGAATTTGTTAGTAACAAAAAAAGTGGCACCATTTTAAAGATTAAACTTTTATCTTTAAATTGATACCAAATTAATTTAAATCACACCGGTATTTAAAAAGATATCCCGGCTGATGTGAAGAAGTAACGAAAAAGACATGTATGAACTGTTTGATACGTCGCGAGTTGCGGCCTATTTACCCCCTATAAAAGCACGCGTTTTCGAATTTTTGCTTTCACACGTTGATTCATACACATCTCCGCTTCTTTTGACACTTTACCTGGGATTCTACACCTTCAGAAGCAGCACAAATCGTTGCACTATTGCAAGAAAGGCTCAGCCAGCGGGCTGTCGCACGTCAGCGCCACATAAGCCAGTCCTGGGTTTCGAAAGTTTCAAGACGCTTTCGGGAGACTAGTGGCTTTATCCCGAGACCAAGTTCTGAACAGCGCCGGTGCACATCGCAGAGGGAAGGCCGTTTTTTCATGTCAACCTCTCTATGAAATCGTCATTTGACTGGAATCGATGTCCATCAAGAGCTCAGAAATGTTCGTAAGACAGCTGTTAGCGAGTGGACAGTTCGTCTGAGATATAAGCAATAGAATTTGACTCCAAAAAGGCCTGCCACAGGCTCGAAACTGACGGCAGGTAACCGATAAGCACCCTTTCAATTTGCTCGTACACATCTCGATGGGAAGGCGAGTAATGGAGGCGAGTTCTGTTCTCCGATGAATGCAAACTGTGTTTGCAGGGCAGCAGTCGAAGAGGTCGGGTTTATAGGCGGCCTGAGGAGCGATTTGTGCAGTGCTGGTTCGCTGAAACAGTGGCTTATGGGGGTGGCTTGCTCGACTTAACATCGAGATGTGTACGAGCAAATTGAAAGCGTGCTTATCGGTGACCTGCCGTCAGTTTCGAGCCTGTGGCAGGCCTTTTTGGAGTTAAATTCTATTGCTTATGTCTTAGACAAACTGTCTACTCGCTAACAGCTATCCTACGAACATTTCTGAGCTCTTACTGGACGTCGATTCCAGTCAAATGACGATTTCATAGAGAGGTTGACATGAAAAAACGGTCTTCCCTCTGCGATGTGCGCCGGCGCTGTTCAGAACTTGGTCTCGGGATAAAGCCACCAGTCTCCCGAAAGCGTCTTAAAACTTTCGAAACCCAGGACTGGCTTATGTGGCGCTGACGTGCGACAGCCCGCTGGCTGAGCCCTTCTTGCAATAGTGCAACGATTTGTGCTGCTTCTGAAGGTGTAGAATCCCAGGTAAAGTGTCAAAAGAAGCGGAGATGTGTATGAATCAACGTGTGAAAGCAAAAATCCGAAAACGCGTGCTTTTATAGGGGGTAAATAGGCCGCAACTCGCGACGTATCAAACAGTTCATACATGTCTTTTTCGTTACTTCTTCACATCAGCCGGGATATCTTTTTAAATACTGGTGTGATTTAAATGAATTTGGTATCAATTTAAAGATAAAAGTTTAATCTTTAAAATGGTGCCACTTTTTTTGTTCCTAACAAATTCGTTAGTACACAAGATCGCGTGGAAACAACTTCATGTAAGTGATTCCATAGTTTTGCTCGCGAGTGTAGTTTACCTATAGGTACCTACTGATAATTTCATTATGTGATTACAAAATATCCCCATCCAATTTTAGGTTTTTTGGAAACTTTTTCTCTTAAGAACC